AATGTTTATTTTTAGAAAAAATTTGGTTTATCAATATCCTGCTCCAAGCCCTTCTTTTACATTTTGCATGCTTCACTGCGATCAATATCATATAAAATCCTCATACTTTTTTTAAAAACAAATATTTTTCCAGTAATGAAACATAAATAAAACTAACATTATTATTTGAATTTAAAAAGATTAAGATCTGAAGCTTTGTATTATTTCACAGGCACGGACATTTTCACAATATTTGCTCACATTTTATAAATGGCTTCCGAATTATCAATTGTCTGCTAATGATATTTTGATGAACTTCCAACTCTCTTCATCCATCAACTGACGTAGTCGTGCAAAGATGACACTTCTAACTATTTTTCTATGCAAATATGTTAAATCGTTAAGGGCGGAATATTAACGCCTTTTTCATCAATTATGTTTACTCACGCAAGATGGAAACTTATTGTGCTGCTATTTGTCAACATTTTTGAGGGTTCACCTTTTTCATTTTAATGTATAAAGTAAATTGCTGCATAATTTTTTCCTCTTAATAATTCTGCCAGCATAAATATTTATAAAGGATTTAGCAGGTGTTGAAATCAATCATCGCGAAATATTGCCATGAATTGATGTAATAATTATTATATGCTTATTAATGGTAATTATATATGATGTATAATTATACATTTTATTTCAAGCGTTTTATTCCAACTGTTTCATTTTTAGAGCTGTTTCAAATAACACAACCCTCGTGGCAATAAGTCGTTACAACTCTCATTATTCCATCTGATTTTCGGTTATCGCACTCAGTATCACAATTTTTGAGAAATTAAAAAGGTTTTTATTTAATTAAATCAAGTTTTTTATTTTATTTTAATATTAATATAGGTATTTTTTAGAATAGTTTAACGTATACTATCCAACTGTATAGTAAATTTATTGTCAATTAACATATTCTCTATACTAATAAAATCATATACTAATGAATATATCATATACTAATTAATTAGCATTACGTTGTGGTATTATTAACAGTACATAAAGATAATAAGTCAAACCTACAAGATAATAAATCCCTATTATTGGTGTCTGAATTTTTTATATTTTGATTAGGCTGTAGATGATTTCAAATGCGAAAACTTATTTTTACTCATGCCATTCAAGGTTTTATTAGGATGAATGTCAAGAAATGGATAATGAGTTACGGTTGGAGCCGTAGTGGGTCAGGGGATAGAGCATTCGCCTTTCAATATGGTGAACGGGGTTTGAATCCCAGCGACGATTGGTCGGTACAAATTCCGCACCCAGCTCTCACCGACCACAGTGCTAATGTAAATTATCCTCAGTGATAGATGGATCATGGGTTAGAGTCCCCTTGCCGTTAGGCTAACAGTGGAAGGTTTTCGCGGTTACAGAAATTTCGCCTTACAGAAATTTCTGTTTATCTGCGGTTTATTATTTACATTATATGTTTGGAATTTTAAAATAATTCCCTACATGATTTTTCTAATTCTCTACATAATAATTCTAATTCTCTTCCTTTTGTTTTAAATTCTTCTTTTTGAATTTAGGGTAGTTTATTGCACAACATGTAATTATAGTAGCTATTTAAGAAATAATTGTTTTTTTTCTTGTTGCTTTTTTTTTTGGGTTTTTTTTTTTTTTTTTTTTTTTTTTTTGTATTGATTCCAACTTTATTGACGTAGCTGTTTCAAAAATGCTTTAATCATTAATTTCATATAATCGGAAAAAAAAAACGGAATAAATCTGCTGAATCTAGTGCATTTTAAATTCTTGCCAAATTTAAAATCGACTGAAAAAGTTTTGTTTAATATTGGGACTTACACTTGTTGACGTTTTATTATATACTTAAGAATCATACTACTTTTGTTTGCTAGAAGTTAACATTAATGTTATCTTTACTGGCTATAAATAAATCTACTTCTTCATGATATAGCTTTATCAGTAATATGAATACAGCATACTCCCAATTAATTTGTGCACTGTTAGAATTTTCATTCTAAAATTATGGTAAAATAATCGACAGCAGTCATTCCATCCGATTAACCGTAAAGTTTACGGTGAAGGACATTTTTACCTTCACGGTTTCATAACCGTTTTTCAAGTAGTATTGTTAAGAAACTCTGAATACAAAACTATACGGTATTTTAACCATTTACTGCTAGGTTTTGAAACCGTGAAAAAAAAATTTAACTGTATATAGCAGCTGGGCGTTTCGTTAGGTAATGGGCATTGGGGAGTGCAGGACAATCGTAACTCTTCTTGCGTTGAAGGAAATATTGTGGTATTATCGCTGGGACTTGAAACCCAATTTTGTCGATCATGAGACGTACAAATTAGCCCTATTAGCTATACTATGTACACAGTTGTAAGGAACTAAGTCGTTTCATTAGATGGGTTTAGTTGGTGCGATAAAATTCTGGTTGTTTAACCGTATTAGGTGAGCAATTTATAAGCAGTTTTTCTCTCTGTTTACAGGTTGATTACCATGTTATTTATGGTTATTTGACTGTTTTGTTTGAAGATGGTTAAATAACAACTAAAAAAATTGTTATTTAACCATTTTTTTCCGAAAACTTTCTAACTGTGTTGTATTTGGATAATTTGGTAACCGCGCGTATATACAAGTTCATTAGATTATCCGGAAAGTGATCTGGAAGTTTCTGATTCATTGTGTTTAAACACCTCCAATTTATTATTTAATTTGAGCTTTGTAACATTTTATTTTTGTAAAAAGGACTAATTTAAATTAAGCCTAAATATGAAGAAAATAATGAAAAATCATGGGATATCTGTTCAGACTATCACGGGCGCTATCTTTAACTGCTATGATACTAATGACATTAAAAAATTGTTTACATGATTGTAACAAAAAAATTAGTGTTGCAGTATTTCTAAAACTTAAAATAGATTTTCCAGCATTCCTAACATTTTTTTTAGAATTATTAGTACAATAAATAGGTATAGCGAGATTTTGTCTTAAAACAAATCTTAACAAAATAAATAAATGAGAAGGAAAAAAAATACGAGTTTAATGTATGTGTCGCAGTAGGAAAGATGATGATCAACTAACAGAACATGTAAAAATAACAACTTTGTGGGGTGATTTCCCAAAAGAAAGTTTAAGTCAAATCTCGTAAACTGTTTTACTGAAAAGACGAAATATTATTTATATATTATGGTCTATGTATTTGTAATTAATCGGTTAATGTTGTTAATCGCTGGTTATTATTCTGAATAACCAAGTGAGTCGGTTAAATTTAATAATCTATCAGAATCATTCTTACTTTCTGGTTACTATTAATAATTACCAATGAAGTTTAGTCAAGTTAATAATAACTCAGTTGGCCAGAGATTTCAGGTGGTCAACTAGGCAATATCAGTTGCTTGTTTACCTTGGATGTAGACGCCCGCTCTTTGTGTTGTTGAGCGAATAATTTGTGCGAGATGGTTTTAATTCTTTTTACGTTTTTTAAGGCATTTAACATTTTTTTTCTGTCTTTTTAAAGAAAAAAATGAGTTTAGAATTTACTGGGTAGTTGCGCTTAACCTAAAATAAGTGTAGGGATGTATAGTAGTATTATATAGTGTGGTAGTATTGGTGTAGGGTATATCGGGAAGATATGTAGCGGGTAGTGGCACTTAACCTGAAAAAAAAACAGTGTAAACTGGGCAATGTCATCGGGTATACGATTATTAGAAATAATAAACAATGATTATTAACAAGAGCTGCATTGCATACACTAATATTTTCATTATTCTTTTGTAACCATATTAAAATTTATGAACTACAGATTTCAAAAATGATCTATCATCAATAATCATAATGATAAAAAAGTTAATATTTTAAAGTTATTATTTTTAATTAATTCATAGTAAAAATCAGTATGCTAATTTTCATCTTTTGTTTATTTCACCTTTATTGTTTTCATCCGAGCTTTTTGTTTCATATTTTCACCGAAGCAGTTAAGGGATTTGATCAATTCACTTACTTTCTTCGGTAAAATCATCCCACAGAGTTGTTATTTTAACATCTATCGTGAATTGGATCATTTACGTCAGATCAAATCTCTGTTTCCAGGTTTTTCCAGCGAAATATACACTCTCCGACATGTTGAACATCAACATGTCTGAGAGTCAGCATGTTGAACGTTGAATTATAATTCGGGGCACATTTGCTACAAACATTAAGCTGTTAAACTGAACCTTGTTTTCTTTTTAGTTGAACCTGTTAGAATTTTCATTCTGAAATTATGGTAAAATAACCGGCTGCAATCTTTCTATCGGAACATTTTTTTACCTTTACGGTTTTGAAACCGTTTACAACTAGTATGGTTATAAAACCATGAATACAAAACTATAAGTTTTTTTAAAACCATTTACAACTAGCTTGGTTTCAAAACCGTAAAAAAGAAATTTAATTGGATATAGGAGCTAGGCTTTTCATTAGGTAATGTACATTTGAGAGTGCAAAACACTGGAAACTCTCCGTGTGTTGAAGAGACTAGAGGATATATTATGATGTCAACGCTGAGATTCGAACCCCATTTCTGTCGGTCATGAGAATGGCAGATTCGTCCTTTCAGCTATAATATGTACCCAGCTCTAAAAAGTTTGGTTGTTTAACCGTATTAGGTGAAAGCAGTTAATAAACGTTTTTTTTTACATTTAACGGTTTGATTGCTATCTTGATTACGGTTATTTGACTGTTTTATTTGAATATGGTAAAATAACAATTAAATAAATTGTTATTTGTCATTTGTTCAGACACACTTCTAACAGTGTCATATCATATAATCAAGTTTAAGAAGTACCATGATTTATTTTAGCTTTGCATCATATTGTGGTTGCAGAAAATTCAAGCGATATCAGAACTCAATATTTTGCAAAATTTTCAATGCTGTAGTATAGGCAGTATGAATACGCATTATAATTTGTGTGATATAATGTGGGATCTTTCATTCTATTGTCTTTAAATTTGGTTTCTTTTTATTTTACAGCTGTTAAAAGTAGGACGAAGAAAGGAGCATGTTAGAATCCACTATGGAATTAGTCCGAAAGTCTCGTCAAAACGTAAGTCAATTTCTAATTTTTTGTTGTTTTTTCTTTTCTTTTATTGCTTTGAATTTTTCTTCCAAGGAATATATATATATATATANGTTTGTGTGATATTACTAAACCCTAACTGATAATCCATCTATCGCTATATGGATCTTTTGCGTCAAAATGGTCCTTTTGCAAATAGGAACTAGGGAATGATTTACTTTCGAACTGGAAGTAGTCGAATTTATTTATTTTTGTATTTTTAAGTTGAACAAGATTTAGAATATTAAATTTAATATTGCATTGTGACAGTGAAGCTCTGAAGCCTCTTAGGACTGGGGAAGGGGATGTAAACACAGTCTCCATGACCTCATTATACTGCGTAAAAGACTTTTCTGTCAGACTTAGTTCATAATACCGTTTATTTTGTGTACGTCATTTAAGTCAATTAAATTTTGAAACTCTGAAAATCAGCCATCATTATTTGTTGAGCTAAGAGAATATATTGTGAGAAACAAAGAAAAGTATTAATTTTTTTTTTTTTTTTTTTTTTTTTTTTTTTTTTTTTNTTTTTTTTTTTTTTTTTTTTTTTTGTCGTGATGAGTTTTCTTTAATTTTGATAGTTTCTATACAATGTATAGATCGCTTCTGTGCATTGATTAGTGACTTATATACAGAAACGATCGATCAAAATTAAGGAAAACTTACCATGGTAAAAAAAAAGGATTTTATAACGGTTGATGAACTTAATTATGTAGATTTTCGTAATCTTGTAGTTTTTGAACCTAACTTTGAAGACAATGGAATTTCTAAGTCTTCGGAACTAACTTGTCTGCTTTTCTGCATTTTTTGTTTGAAATGGACAGTGGTTCCTGAATATTTTTACTATGAAGCCATAATAAATTGTTCTCCTTTTCGTGAGACCCTTCCTTTATATATAATTTTTTTTTTATTAATTAGCAGCTGAGAAATATACTAACTAAATGAAAGAATTATTTTGTAAATATTTAATGCAAGGAAGGGTACGTTTTAAATTCTAAAATTGTTCTTGGTTTATGCATAAGCTGAAAATAAATAAAATAAAATAAACTGAGTTATAGTTTTCATTGCTACAATTATTATTTCATTAATTTTCATTCATTGGTTATTTTATTGGTAATTTTATTTCACTGGTTATTAAAAATACACTAACCAAATAAAATAATTATTTTGTAAATATTTAATGCTAGGAAGAATACGTTTTAAATTCTAAAATTGTTCATGATTTATGCATAAGCTGAAAATAAATAAAATAAACTGAGTTATAGTTTTCATTGCTACAAACGTCAGGAATATTTAATAAAGAAATATAATTTCTAATTCTTGAATTTGGTTATTATTTCATTAATTTTCATTCATTGGTTAGGGTAACTTATTGGTAATTTTATTTCATTGGTTATTAAAAATACACTAACCAAATAAAATAATTATTTTGGAAATATTTAATGCTAAGAAGGATTTAAATTCTAAAATTGTTCATGGTTTATTCATAAGCTGAAAATAAATAAAATAAAATAAACTGAGTTATAGTTTTCATTGCTACAAACGTCAAGAATATTTAATAAAGAAATATAATTTCTAATTCTTGAATTTGGTTATTATTTCATTAATTTTCATTCATTGGTTATTTTATTGGTAATTTTATTTCATTGGTTATTAAAAATACACTAACCAAATAAAATAATTATTTTGTAAATATTTAATGCTAAGAAGGATTTAAATTCTAATATTGTTCTTGGTTTATGCATAAGCTGAAAATAAATAAAATAAACGAAGTTATAGTTTTCATTGCTACAAATTTCAAGAATATTTAATAGAGAAACATAATTCTTAATTCTTGAATTTGGTTATTATGTTTCGAATCGAAAAGTCCGAGGAAAACTGCTTATGATTTTTTTTTTAAATAAAAGCATATTCTTTTCATAATTTATTCTATAAACTGTTATTACAAAAATATTTTTTTAATAAAATATTTTGCTTCTTTTTTATTGGCATTTTACATAAATAATTTCATTTAAATAATCGAAATATTAAATTATGGATTATTTTTGGATATACATAAATCTAATTATTACTGGTTAAAAGAATGTCTTAGCTCACGAAACCTCTGTAAGCCTACTACGGAACCATAGGGTTCCGCGGAACTCCCTTTGGGAACTGCTGGAATAGGATATGAACTTTATAAACGAAAAATCACCAAAATCTCTTTCGGTTTGTGTGATATTACTAAACCCTAACTGATAATCCATCTATCGCTATATGGATCTTTTGCGTCAAAATGGTCCTTTTGCAAATAGGAACTGTATACGATTTAACAATCTTTGATCGCTACTTTCCTTGTGCCTAAAATCAGTTTTCCATTCACTGAGCTATTCGGGTTTACTTTAATAGTGTGTTGGCAAGTTAATAGTGTGTTGGCAAGTTTTTGACTTCTATCATTTTTTTGATTATTATAGCTATGGACATCACGTGTCAAAAATCTAGAAGCTTGCATTTATGTATTAGTATAAATATTATTATTTTTATTTTAAATAGCTCAATGCATCTAATTTTTAAAGGAGAAATAATAGATACTTTACTTTTCTCATGTAATTTGTCATATGTTTAAAAGAAAATGTCTTGAAAAAAAAGTACCCCTTTACTGTATAAATATACTTAAAATATAGATTATTATCTAAGAAAAGATCTGCTCTATTGTTGTAAAATTATTTTAAAGGAGACATTCTAAATTTTAATTGTAGTAAATGAAATTTTAATATTCTAATAATTGTCTATGCTTTCCCTTTACATTAAAAAAAAGATAGTAGGAGCCCTTAAATTTAAAATTTAAATTATAATAGATGTGCAGATTATTCAGAATCCTTAGCTATTTAAAATGTTAAAATTTATTTGATGCATACTTTTTTATGTTAGAGTTTATTAAATAAAAAAGTTAATTGTGTATTTATTAATTATTTTTCTTTTGGTAAATCATCTTATGTTAATGTTATCAGTTAAGTGAAACTTAAGGGAAAATATTTCTGGAGTCCTCATTTGGAATTACGATTACTTCTTTACATTGTTCATATAATTGTACTTAAAATGATTTCTGATGGATTTACTTTTTTTCTTCTTCTCAAAAGTCGGTTAATTTTTGTTTATATATTGATTTTTTACTTTTACAATGACTTTGACTTATGAATTTAGAGAGCTAAATTGTTTGATTGCAAAATGAATAAGAATTTTTTCGACCCACTTTGCAATAAAAAATAAAAAAAATTATACTTAGGATGACTTTTGACCTGGCTTAATGATCGCATTTTCACTTTGATGGTTTTAGGTACCCATCTGAAGTAAGGTAATTAATAAGTGTAGACGATAATTCAAATTAAAAATTAAATAGAAATTCGTATTTGTTTGAACAAATTTGCTAGTTTTTTTTTTAAATTTTATTTTATAGAATTGAATTTTTGAATTTGGTTAGCATCATGAAGGAATATTTTTTAAATTTTTTAAAAATATTTTTTGTTTTGTTTAGAATTAATGCCATTTTTCACCATTTCCCCAAAGCTGAAAAAAAACCTCTACGAAGCTTTTATGAAACTTTTTTACCGAAAAATTATTTCTCTGAAAAATAATTTATAATAGCTATTTATTTGTTATTTTCTTATTATATTAGTTAAAATTAGACAAGAAATATTTAGAGTGCTAGACAATTTTTACTTATTTTTTTTTTTTTATACTAATGATGAAATCTAAGCATTCAGCGAAGTGTTTCTAACATTTGCTGAATATTTCAGATATTAATATATCTGGCATATTCAGCAAATGTTAGAAACACATAAAATAAAGAACAAAAAGAAAAAAAATTTGCTGAATATTTCAGTCATATTTTTTTTATTATTTTAGGCATCTTATTTCTTTGTTACTGCAAGTGAAAATTGCTTAAGTAATTCTCATTTGCCTATATCAGCGTTAGAAAAACTAATTGGTTTTTTCTTCCTTAGAGCTAGTTGTTTAACTTTACATAACCATTCATTCAAATTATTAACTTCGAGAAACTTTTAAAATTGAAATGTGTGAGTATGGACAACTCTTTCTTCCTGGGGTCACCTGACGTCCTTGGGGCAGGGGTTGTTGTCGACATCATGATGCCTGACCTCCGGCCCAAGGGCAGACGGGCGTTATCTAGGCAGATTTTTGGAAAACTGGGTTTTTGCTGCACTCGGCAAATATCCTGATACAAGGCGTATTCAAATTCTTACTTCGACCCTCCTCCTTCTCATGATGGATCGTTTACTCTTCTAAAAATTAATTTACTTTTAAAGGCTGAGACGAGCAAAAATTGGGCAATATTTCATACACTAAGTTATTTGTTTTTGCTCCTTTTAACTCTACTTTCATTGAAATTTACTGAAGCTTAGAAAATTTTTTTTTCTCTTTCATTTTCAGGTTTAAATACTATTTGCTTGTTATTATTACTTTATTAGATTTTTTAGCTTATTCAATTATTAATTTATTATCTCCATCTACCGACTAATTGTTAACCGGTTTAATTGTTATTTATTTTTATTAGTTTTTGAATTATTAGTTTATTATCCTCAGATTTCTTATTTTTTTTCTTCCTATTTAACTTTTTTCTCCCTCTTTTACAAGTGTGTTTTCTTTTTATTCAAGTTTAATAATTATTTGTTTATTATTCATAGTTTTTTAGTTTATTCGATTATTAGTTTATTGTAACCCTGTTTTTTTATCTACCCTTTTGTGTTTTTTTTTAAATTATTTTTTCACTCGAGTTTTTTTTCTTCTTTTCTTTTCAAGTTTAATTGTTATTTACTTCTATTAGTTTTTAATGAACTCAATTATTAGTTTATTACGAATTTTTTTTTTTTTTTTCTTATTTACCTTTTCTTTCTTCTTTTATTTGTGTGTTTCCTTCATTATCAAGTTTAGCTATCATTCGTTTATTATTTATAGTTTTTTAGTTAATTCAATTATTTGTTTATTATCTC